GGTACTGGGGGAGGAGGCAGTTTTCCTTAAGACGTTACTGTATCTTTCTTTAGGATAGACTGTGTGACATTTTTATTACTTCAACCTCTGAACGAAAGTAGCCTTTTCATTTTCAATGATGATAGGTTTTGTAAATGTCAAGTTCCTTATTAAAGAGTCAGAGTTGACATTCCAAAAGTCTAAAGATGATATAGGTGATATGCAAAGTTGTGTGTACAGAACTAGAATGGGAAGCTATTTCGTATCACTTCCACTCTTCCAAAATGAAAATAACCACTTCTCAAACAAGTATCTGAAAGGAAGAAATCAAGCTGCTATAAGCAAGAAGAAAGACACGGGACATTCCAATCTGTGACCTATCCACCTACAATTCAAATATAGAGACTATTCATATACAAATAAAACCTGTGTGAAATCCATCTGATATGATAGCTATCGTACATTTAAGGTTAATTAATTTTGATACCAGTTCCTAGGCATTAACTCTTACAGAAGTTTGGAGACATTTAAAATTAGGTCTCCATCAATTTTAGAAGTCAGAAAACCTTTTTTGTTCCCTTGTGGTCACCAGGGAAACAAAATTATTCAAGTGTGTTGGTGAGTGTGCTCTATCCTTCACTTGTCTTCTTTATTTTCTCAGTTTTTAGTCAATTATACACTGGTGGATTGCTGAACAGGCTCTCAAAAGGAAGAATGACTCGGCTTCGTGGTGCATATGAGATACTGATAGAGATCTAGGGCCACCAGTGCAAGACTGGATGGTACTCACAGGATGCCAGCAGTCCGGAGGCACCTGCCCACTATGCAGCCCAAAGATGCTGCAATCACGTGGCAATAAGGGCCTGGGCTTCTGCAATGTTAGGAGAGGCCTCAAGCCAATTTTTTAAGTATTCAATTTCCCAATTTTGAAAAATTGTCAATTATTTTTCTGGGCCAGGGAGACAGCTCAGTAGAATAAGTGCTTGACTGGCAAGCTCAAGGGCCTGAGTTCAATCCCCAGTTCAGCAAAAAAAAAGCAATTATTTTTCTGGAAACTTCACACATCCTCTGTGAGCTGCATTTGGCCCATAAGGTACCATCTGCAAGCCAACAACTGCCCACAAGAACTTCACATCAGAAGAGGACCTATTAACCACAAGAGCTTACAGTAAGAAAGATAACTGTCAGACCAGGGAGATAGCTCGGCAGTCTAAGTACCTGCTCGGAATGTGCAAAGACCTGAGTCCAATTCCCGGTGCCACATGCCATGCTGGCCCTGGACCCTGGGTGCTCTATGCCAGTCTCGAAACTGAATTGAGTATGGTGTCACATAGCTGTATTCTCAGCACTGGGGAGGCTGAGACAGGAGGATCACTACCAGACTGAACTACATAGTGATACTCTATTCCAATAAGTAAATAGAAACGTAACTGTTGCCTCGGGTGGTGGTCCACTACTTTTATACTACTATTCTCAGAGGCTGAGGCAGAAAGACCACGAGTTAGAGCCCAGCCTGGGAAACACCAATATATTGAGACCCTCTTTCACAATAAAAACTGTAAGTCTGGGAGTGTACCTCAGGTGGTGGCTTTAATCCCCAGCATCACCAGAAAAAGAGAGAAATGAAAGAAGAGAGAAATGTAATTGCCAACTTCAATTCTCGTGCTGACCGTTCTGAGCACTGAAACTTTGGACAAGTATGAAAATCTTGCTTGGCAGCTTACAAATCAAAGTAAACCAAATTGTATAATCTTATCAGACAGCATCATTAAATGATAATCATTGGGCATAGTCAGTTATTCAGCAGATGGGCGTTAAGAATCCTCCATGTGCCAGGTACCACTCGAGCACCCAGGAGGATAGCCCAGACCAGGACGCCTGTCCCAGCAGAGCTTACATTCTGGAAGTGAGGGGGAAGTGAATCAATAAGTACACAAGAAAAACAGTAGGTAACAGAAACCAGCTACATAGAATATTAGAACAGGTCTGGTGGCCTTGCAGGTACCAACTGGTGGATAGATGCACCCTGTTTGAGCATCAGACTCTCTCTCTTCCCCCTTTTGTTCTAGGTCCACTGTGCGGTCACTTGTGGCATGTTTTAATAAACAGAAGGCCCATTTATCTAAATTAGTTACATTTTAATCTTCTTGACTAGATTGGCGGGAAATGTGGATCCTAGAGGGACTTAGGGAAACCTCTAATCTAATCAACGACTTAATTACAGGGCCTGGTCAGTGTAGCACATGATGAACTCCACGCATCCTACGTGGATTCCCTTTGGCTTAAATTATAGAGTGGACCATTTTCCAGTGGGTGGCCAGCCTCTGGGAAGAGAGCCTCTGAGGATCTTCATCACTTGCTTGAAACAAGAACTCCTAGCTTCAAAATGAAGCTCTTCCTGCGGGACTATGGGTTCTCCCACCCCAAAGTGCACATTAACAAATACCTCTCCCTAAGGTCAAAAAGAACTTACTTTATTTTCCTTTTGTAAAGCTTTTAATTCATTTTATTGCATATATTTAAGGTGTGCAGGATGGTTGGACATATACGTACACAATGAGCTGATTACTACAGTCAAAGAAATTACTAGGTCCACTGAAGTCCTTCCTTCAAGTGAGTATCTTCTTAAATCCCTCCCTGTGGTTTGGTAAGTGGCCCCTGTAGGCTGAGAAGGAGATGGATTCAAAGCCGGGGAGGCGGCTCTCTGCTCTGATCGCTAACCTATGGCCTCAGGTCATCTGCGAGGTGCAGGCGGCGGGCAGTGGGCTGCCAAGCTGAGGCTGCCATGGCAGGGTGATCTGCGAGCCAACCCCAAAGAGCAAAAAGCATGTGGCTATTAGCATTCTGATTAAACAGCCATCGCTAAGACCCACGGCCTTGGGTGTTCTGCAGGGAATTCCAAACAGGCACGCCAGAAGCAGAGTCGGACGCAGAAAGTCCTCTTTCAGGGCAAAACAGCATTGAAGGAAAACTAAAATGGGTAACTCTACTTAACTTTAGAAAGAGAAATGAAGATGGTATATAATAGTTGTAGAAGGACGATGGTATCTTTACGTAGTATGATCGAAAACTGGGTGAATGTGGCTGTCGAGTGTCACACAACAGAAGCACAGGCTCCCAAAGGCACGATGGTGTGTCCTCGTCCACCTCACCCAGTCTGCACCTGATGACTTCCGGCTCTTCCCTAAAGTCACAATGACCACGAAGGGAACCATTCAAATAGCTTCAGGACATCGAGGCAGTCGCCACAGCAGAGCTAAAGACACCTGTGTACAAGGACTTCTAGAACTGCTCCAGAAGGAGGCAAGAAGGACGGGACAAGCGCGTTCAAGGCAAGGGGGGGCTATTTGGAGGGAGGCCTGCGGCGATGTGTCTTTTCTGCCAGAAGATGTTCAACTGTTCCGCACGGTTTTTGATCACACCTCCTGGAATACACGGCCAACAACTCATTGACCAGGACTTAAGTGCTGTGCACGTGTGAGCTCCTCCCACGACAATGGCAGAAGTAAACTAAAGCTAATAAAAAATGTGAAGTTGAAAAAAATCATTATCATGTAACAAGGGACAACATCACTCTCCACAGCTTGAATGCAGACCTGTCTGCAGCCTCACTCTGGAGTCTTCCGCAGGCCAGGCCCCTTGGGCGCGTCCTCAGCGCCTCTCTCCTCCCTGGCCTCCCAGACTGGCCCTGTGGCCGCCTCCAGAACAGTCCTCTCCCCAGGGGCAGTACTTTAGGCACGAAGCACACAGCACCAAACAACTACAGGTTAAAAACCTCTTCCACTGGATTATGTAGCAGGTACCTGAGCAAATAGTAAAAAATGCAAAAGAACACTGTCAGTGCAGGCATCCCGCAGTGTTCTTTTGCAAAGCCAGAGCATTTCACTTTTTTTTTTTTTTTTTTTTTTTGCCCCAAATAAGACTGGAAATGGATTGCTCCATTTAGGACTTCCATTAATAAACTTCTCAGTATATGAAATGTCTTGAACATGCAGAGAAGCTAGGGTGAAAGGTGCCGCGTTTCTCACCGGCGTGAGCCCTGAAAGCAGGAGAAAATAAGAATGCAGCGTTTGCCTCAGGGCTGGGGTTATTTATACAGCGCGGGCCGGCAAGGTTGGCGCCCGCGCCAGGGCAAGGGAGCACTGTGTCCTGTGGCGAGTACAGACGCGCGCGCCCCGCACCAAGCGCCAGAAATGTGACCTCACGACCTGGGGGGAGGGGGGCAGTCTATCCACTTTCATGGTGTGCACATGGAAGTGGGGTGGCGATGCGGCCTTCCAGTGCTGTGCTTATGCGGCACGTTTGGGAGCCGGGGGAGACATGGCGATTTAAGAAGGGGTGCTGGGGCGGCAGCGGATGCCCGGACCCTCCCGGGACCTGCACCCTGGAATCCGTAAATGCGCCCGAGCCCCTGCTCCTGGACATAAGATTAAACCGTATCTGAGCATGGAAAGGGCTGTGTAGGAAGGCCGAGACCCCGCCACCTGGGGTGCGTGGGGGCTGGGAACGGGTTGAACGAAGCCGGGAGGCCGGACACCTCCGGGGTGAGCAGAGGTCACAGAGCTCCTGCAGGGGTGCGGGCCGAGCCCCACGGCGACCTGGTGTACACGCTCCCAGCGCTACGGGGACCCCGCTGGCCGCACCCGGCTGTGCTCAGTCGCGCGCCCCCTCCTCCCCTGTCGGCCGGGCGCTGGGGCACCAGCGGGTGCTGCGGGCCCGGGCAGCCCGTTTCCCCGCCCCCTCCAGTGGATCCCGGGTGGCGGCGCCGGCGACAGTGGCGCATCCCGGCTGGAGAGGGCGCTCGCGCTCAGGAGCGGGGCGCAGCAGGTGCCGCGGTTACCTCCACCTCGGCGGGGGAGAGGGCGGGCCGGGCGCGGGAGGAGGCGGAGGAGGCCGGGGAGGAGGAGGCGGAGGAGGCCGGGAGCGGCAGGAGCAGGAGGCCGGCTGCTCGCGAGCGGGAGAGCGCGGCGGCTCTGCAGCTGGGTCCCGAGAGCGCAGCTTCCGGGAGGCACCCGAAGTCTGGCGGTCACATCCCGGCGCCAGGGACCGCGCTACCACCCGCAGAGCCGCCGGCGAGGACGCGGTGGCGCGCAGCGCCGGCTCCTCCTCCTCGTCCCGGCGCGCGGCGGCGTGGAGCGGCGG